ATGGTGATGATGATGATGAAGATGATGACATGTTTATACTGCCAATAGCCAAAGCTCCCTGTGCGGTTTACAACAGTAACCATAGAATCATGCAGTCGAGTCACCCATCCCAGTTCTGACCAGACCTGATCCTGCTTCGCTTCCAAGATTAGGCAGGAGCTGGCAGTTCAGGCTACAGGGATGCAGCAGTCCGGGAGCTAAGGGACTCTGCCAAACAGCGCCAGGATGCAGGCTGGAACCGGCAGAGGACTGAGGGGTTGCAAGCCTTGTCAGCCGCAGAACACCCAGCCATCTGCTGGGCTAGTGACCAAGCAAACAGCCCAGGAGGGCTTGCATGGCGTCTGGACCCACCCAGGCTCCCTCCCAAAACCTGACGGAGAAGGGCTGAGACGTCCGCTTCGCTGTGGAGCTGCTGCAGCTGCGCCAGCACCAGGGGCTCAAGGGAGGCGTGGGGCTTGGTGGGCATCGCCCGGCACTCCAGTTGCTGCCAGGAAGCGCTCGGCTACACGGTGCTAAACGAAGCGAGGCCCCATCGCTCGATTCATCGCAGCTGTGGGCTTGGGAGGCCGTGAGGAAGGCCAGCTCTGGCTCAGCTTCTCTCCCCAGCTGCCGTTCAGGAGAAAACCAGGATGGGCCTTGGTGGAGGAGAGCCAAGCTGGTCCTGGCCCCGGCCCTGGAGACCTTTGCCTCGGGCGGTCCGGCCAACCCAGCCAAGTAAACAGCCCAATTGCTGCACTCGGCCCCCTAGGCTGCTCACCCGTCCTGCTGGACTGGGGGCCCTTCTGCAGGTTGCAACATCCCGACCTGTGATTAATGAGTTCACGCAGGAGGAGGAGGAGCAGGCCTGGCCGGGTTCTGGATTCCAGCAGAGATGCATCCGAAGCAGCTCATCCTGTTTGGGGGGCGGGTCTCACTGGTGCAAAGTTCGTGTTGCGAAGGGCCAGGCAGGCCCCTTTGGCCGGGTGCCGAGTGACGCTGAGCAGCGGTGGCTAGCTGGCCCAGGGCGCTCAGAACAGCGTGGGTGGGCGGTTGCAGGACCCAGGCAGCGAGCCAACTGGGCAACCTTCACCAGAGGTGTCAGGTTTGTTCACGGAGGAGAACCGGTCTGTCAAGGGCAACTAGCAGGGATGGTCATGTGGCGCTTCCTGATTCGAGCCTGGCTTGAGAAGCAGTCGCAAGGTCTTCTGCTCCAGCCGGGCCTCCGTCTTCCCGCAGGGCGGCAGGGCTCCCTTGTGGGGTGTTCACAGAACGTGGGGCAGCATGCAGCCGGGCCGCCCGCCCGCCCGCCTGCCCTGTGATCCCACGCTGCTGCTTTTAGCTCCCCGGGTGAACCATCGGCGCAAAGAGAGCCGAGAGCGAGAAGCACCTCGTCACGCTGCAGCCAAATGCCCCCCGAGTCCGACGGTTGGCTATCAGGCGGCACAAGCATTTTCCTCTTCACCCACAGCAGCTCCTTTGCTAAGGACGGAGCCACAGGCGTGTGGCACGTGGAAGACATGGCTGTGGGCCCACGCATGGGGTAGGATTCCCGGACGCACACACAGGAGTGCCTGGCACTGACGCTGCGCACGGGAGCCCTGTGCCGCGTGCAGCACCCCCCCCCCCCCATCGACGGTGGATTGCCCTGGTTGCTCCTCTGGGCAGACGCTGGGATCCAGGCTGATCGACTCTTGCATCCTCAACGGTTTTTCCTGTGGGTTACGCATTTCACCAACTCTTTGGAAGAACAGCAGGGAGTGCATTTCAGAGCAAACGGAGCGGCTCCTGCTTTCTCTAGTGCTGGAAAAGCTCCCTGCGCTGGCGTCCAGGAGCAACTGTGCGCAGCTTGGCTGTGGTTCAGCGTTATCAGGTGTCATCTGCACCACCGTGGCACCTGTCCAGCCGCTCCTCCCCGGTCGGTCGGGCAGGGAAGACAAATGCTCATCTCGCCCAGCCCCTTTCTCCAGCTGGCCGTCGAGGGAAGCCCTCCACCCGCCGTCACGAGCGGCTTTCACACCTCGGAATCCGCTGCGATTCCTTCAAGGATCGGTGGCCCGGAGGACGGGGGCAGCTGGGGAGGGCTGCCTCCGCCAGCCGTTTCCAGACGCAGCGAGTTCGAGTTCGTGGTTAATTGGGAGATGACCGGCGACGGGTGTGCCTCCCAGGACTTGCTCGGGAAGGGACTTCGCATTCGGGGTCTCTCCCGCTCATTCGCTGTATGGGAAGAATGTCTTGGCCGGCTAGCAGCTGACATCTGAGCTGTCCGTTGAAGGACACGTTCTCCTTCACACCAGTGGCTGCTGGTCCTTGCATGCCTTGGCCAGGTCTCTGCCCTGCTCCTCGTGACCCACACGTGAACCTGGGAGGGCTGTGGGGAGTGAGGCAGGCCCCACGGGAGGCTGAGTGCAGCCAGAGCCGGTCTCCAGGCAGGCCGTACAAGGGGTGTGCTTCAGGAGCGCCCTCGGCCAGAGGTGGGGCTCCAGAGCACAGCTGGAGAGGCGTCACTGGCCAGGAGTTGAGGGCGTCCCCAGTGGCCAGCCAGGTGCACCAGTGGGGAGCCCACAGGTGGGAGGAGAGCACTGGACACCTTTCTGGGAAACGGGGAGCAGGAGGCACCTGGCCTCCCCCACAATGCATGTGAGGGAAGCCTCCTGGAAGCCGTCTGTACGGAGTACGGAGTGGCTCTGGATTGTGCCCAGAGGCTGGGGAGGCGGGAAGGCGCTTCAGGGAAACGTTGCTCAGCCCTGTGTGCTTGCATTTAAAGTTGTGTGTTTCTTCACCCGAACATTTCCGCTTTCTCCCTGCCTCTGGGTCTCGGGGCAGGATGCCACCAGGTTCTCCCAGTCCAGCAAGGGAGCATAAAGCCGACAACCAGAGGCTGGCACAGTGAAGCAGCAGCCACTGACCTGCACCAGCTTCTGGACGAGGAGACCTGCAGCCAGGCTCCGAAATGAAGCCAGGTCAGCACCAGGGCGGCCCTGCATCCCGCTTGTCTTCAGTTAGTCCGAGGCGGCCAACTACTGATCCCAGAACAAAACAGGCCGTCCCAAGGACCTCTTGTTTTTCGATGGAATACCAGACGTTAAAGCACAAAAATGTAGCAGGAAATAACAGCGCGCCAGCAAATTCAAAAAGAAGACCCCCCCCCCAGAAGATCTTTTCCAGCTTCTACAAAGTCAACTTCTGAAGAAGTAGATGGGCAAGCAAAACTTAGCAATGGGAGTGGGTGGGTGAGGGAACGGAGAAACAGAGCAAGCCAGAAGGGGCCTCCCGGGCCATCTAGTCTGACCCCCGGCTCCAGCCGGCTCCACTCACGACATGCCCACCATGTGCCTGTCCTCGTGCACCTGTGGGTCTTCAACCACCTCCCGTCTTGGTCCTCTCCACCAGTTCTTAAGGAGTCACAAGAGGCCTTCAGGGAAGTTGTGGTAAACTCCACTGCTGGTCTCCAACCACAGGCATGTTTGCATCTCATGACAATAGATCTGCAGTAGAAGAAAGCATGGAAAAGTGCGTTGACAGTGTGCATTTGGGAACCGTGCCGTACACTCAGACCACGTGAGCTCTTTCTGAAATGCATGTCTGGGATTGCCCATGGTGCAAGCCTGAGTTAAAACTGAAACACAGAACATAGAAACAGAGCAACTCAGAAGGGGCCTCCCGGGCCATCTAGTCTGACCCCCGGCTCCATCCAGCTTCGCTCACAACGTGCCTCCCAAGTGCATAACCAGCCTTTCCTTGAACGGGGGCTTGCCTTTAGCAAGCAGTCCTGCTCCCCAGCCGGACCTCACCCAGCATGACCAGTCCCGGCGTATCACCGCTGGAGGTTGCCTGCAGTGCCGTTCCAGAGGCAGGGAGTTCCGCAGCTCCCACGCAGCGGCTGTGGCAAAAAGCACCATGGGGGTGCGGCTGCGGCCCTTATTCACAGGCCGTGACGCTTAATGGGAAGGAAGGAAAGCTCCAAATGAACCTGGGGCCCTTCTTCCCTCCGGGGGGGGGGGGAGGCACCTCCCTGGGGCTTCCCCGTCTGCCCCTGGACTCCCTGCTCTCCATTCCTTCATCCACCCTCGACACGTGGATTCCTCCCACTTCCCCTGCGCTGTCCCACACCGGGAGGGGTTCTGCGTGCCAGGAAGGAAAAGGTCTCTTCCTCGGCTTTACCCAAGGTCTGGCCACAACGTGGGCGCGCGATTTGCGGGTGCCGCGCCTGCAGCCATGGCCAGGCGTTGGCCGCCTGGGGGGGGGGGGCTGGCGCAACCCCCGCTCGTCCGCCTCCCCGCCCGCCCCGCGCGGCGTCCCTCCACGGGAGCCTGTGCCGCCGGGAGCTCGCGGGGAGGAGGGCCCGCGCCTGCTCGGGTGTCCAGACCAAGGCGCGTCCCACCCGCCTGCCGGGACGGGCGCTCGAGGGGGCTCGCCCGGTCACCCGCGGAGCAAAGCAGCCGGGCGGGCGCAGGAGAAGCGGAGGCGCGCCGCGGACCTGTCGGGGGAAGGGGCGCGAGGGGCGGCTAATCTCTAAGCGCCCCCGCGCCCCGCCCGGACTGGCTTCCCGGGCCGTTTCCAGGCCCAGCTCCAGGAGCCGCTGCGGCTTGACGGCCCTTCGGGGCGCAGCCCTCGCCCGCGCAGGCTCGCCTCCCCGCGCAGGTGCCCGCGCTCCGGAGGTCGCCGGGCCCACGCGCAGCGCCTGAGGGGGCTGGCGGGCCTCCAAGGACCGGCTCTGCCCCGCACGCGCTCCTCGCCGCGCCTCCGTCCGGATCGCGCAGTTCAGTCCTCAGGGGCCTCCGAGAGCCCGACGGAGCGCGCGGGCGGCGCAGGGGGCGCGCGCGGGGACCCCGCCCGGGAGCCCGGAATGCGCCCCGTCGGCCGGCCCGCCCGCCCTGAGCCCGGGACGCGGAGCGCGCGGGCCACGCGCGGCGCGGGGCTG